GGTGGGGCAGTTCTAATGGCTTCTGCTTGGCTTTTCCTACCATAATAGCCCCTACTCTATTTGTCAGTGATCCAGTGTGGGGTTTCTGCCAGTTGCTGAGTATGTCTTTTCCAATTATGCATTCTGGAACTGGGGAAATCACTACAGGATGGGTTCGGGGACCCAGTGGACCTACTGTGAGATGGATATGAGCCAAGACTCCATTAATAACCTGACCTCCGTATGCCCCCACTCTGACTGTTGGGCCACAGTGATGTTTTGGGTCTCCTGGAATTAGTGTCAGCACAGAGCCAGTATCCAGTAATCCCCAAAAACTCTGATTATTTCCTTTTTCCCAATGAACAGTCACTCTCGTAAAAGGCTGTAGATCCCTTTGGGGAAGGCTGGGAGAAAGATTAACAGTAAAAATTTTTGACAGTGTATTGGAGTCCTTCCTCAACGGGACCCGGCCTCCCCTTCATTCAAGGGGTTGTGTGTCTTTAAACTTGCTCAAATCTGGGAATTGATTGAGGGACAATGACTCTGTATTCTGGTGATTCGAGTTAGACTGCTGTTCACCTGACCTAGAATTCATCCATTTGTATAGCTCAAGTAAATATTTAGTAGATTTCCTAGCTATTTCACTCCTAGGGACACCATGACTAAGTAGCCAATGCCATAAGTCCATACGAGTCAGACTATTCTGATTACTGCTTTGACTCCTCTGTCCATTACTGTAACCCCGCCCACCTTTTCTTTGTTGATTGAATGCAGCCCCATTGTAGTTAGGTGTCTTAATTCAGTTAGGGCAGTTCCCCCTGTCAAATCTGACTTACATAAAATAGCAATCACAGCAGTCTTCAAGGATACTGGAGCTCCCTTCACAACTTTATTCCTCACAGTTGTGGTAAAAGGTGTGTCCTCTGGACACTCCATGTGTGGGTCTGTGGTCTAACTTGATAAATCCACTCTAGCATGCCAGTTTCCCTAAGCCTTTGGATACCTTCTTCTACAGTATACCAAGGCAGATCTTGTACTTCAGCTTGATTTAGTGTCGACCACCTCATAATCCATGCTTCAGCAACCCAACCAAATAAACTATTACATCCTTTCCTAACTTCTCTAGCTGAAACATTGAAGGAACAGTCTGTGGCTCAGTGGACCCATATCAATAAACTCAGACTGATCCATCTTTATGTTCCTTGCACCATTATCCCACACCCTTAATAGCCATTCCCACACATATTCCCCAGGTTTCTGTTTGTACATATCAGAAAAGTCAAGTAGTTCTTTTGGAGTGTAGTGTGCCTCCTCCTGGGTCACACTTTGTACTTCACCTTTTGGGGCTCACTGGGACTTAAGCCTAGTTACAGGTCTAGAAGCCAGAATCAGTAGTATGGAATTGTTTTGAGACCATTCTGCATTATCTTGTAAAGCATCTGCCTCAGGCGATGCTCCAGGCAATGACTCAGGCAAGTGCTCTGTAGAGGCACCTGGGCTAGGGCTAATCTCCTCAGATGGGAGTGGAGGGGCTAATGGTTTTTCTGGGCAGGGTGGTTTAGCGGGCAGACTTGAAGTAATCTCTTCAGATGGGACTGGTTCTGCTGGCAGGAGTGATTCAACAGAATTTACAGGCTCAGTGTCCCTAGCTTCCTGATTATCTGCCCATATGTCCCTATCCCAAGTCTCAGGATCCCATCTCTTCCCAATCAATGCCCTTACTTTAACTTCAGATACCTCTCAAGGTTTGCAATTGAGCTGGCGTTGTAATTCAGCCACTCTTACAATAAGACTCTGGGTTTGTTTTTCAGCAGTTTCAGCTCTGTTACTACAAGAAATAAGGCTTTCTTTCAAAGCGCAAGTGGAAGCCTTGAGGTCATGTATGCGGCTCTTGAGCCTTGACTCTGAAGCCCTGAGCACATCTCTTTCGTTCATCAGTTTGTCTAGTGAAAGTAGGAGAAACCAATCAGCTTCCTTATACTTCTCATTCTGACAAAGCTGTAGAAAGATATCACACGTGTTCACCCTGAGCCTCACCTTTCACCAATACCTGATCTACCGGTGATGATATTTTGCATATTTGTATCACCACCTCACTCCATGGACTAGCAGTGACCTCTTTACTGATGGAATCAGACTTGAGAACCAATTTAGAAAGCTCATCTGTACAATTTTGTTTCTCTAGAACCACTCCCGGTACCAAATGTCTTAGGCTGGGTTCTCTAGAGAAGCAAAACCAGTAAAGTGTATAAATATATAGAGAGAGAGAGATTATATCAAGGAAACAGCTCACACGATTGTAGAGGCTAGAACGTCCCAAGTCCGTGGATCAGGGTAGAGGCCTCTCCCAAGTCACACAGCCTCAGAAGCTGGCAAGCCCAAGATCAGCAGGTCAGATAAGAGGGCTCCCACTCACAGACTGTGCAGATTGACAAATCCCAGGTCTGGCAGATAAGCTGACAGCTGAAGTCCCAAGAATGGGAGATGAGATGACAGGAAGCAGCTGCAGTATCCAGAGAGAGCAAAATGCCAGAATGTCTGCTTATATTCAGATGCGGGCTGCACCCCAACGAGACTTCCTTTCATCTGATTGGCTACTCACAATATATTCAATCATGGGAGTGATTACATTAAAACACTGAGAATCATGGCCCAGCCAATTTGACCCACAATCTTAACCATCACAGTGATCTTTTCACTTACTGTATTTTCATTCAGCTTTGATGTTGACCTTTATTCTTTATGGGCCCTAGTTGTTTTTTTACAAGTGATCAATTAGTGACACTTTAATCTTTGCAAAAAATGTTTAATTTGCTTCATATCAATATAAAAATAATAATAATAGCAATTTTTTTGGCACTTACTATGTGCCAAACATACTAAGACACTGTTCTAAGTGCTTTACATTTCTTTCTTTCTTTCTTTCTTTCTTATAACCACATTATTAGATAAGTACAATTATCCCTATTTTACAGATGATAAAACTAAAGTACAGAGACGTTAAGTAACTTGCTTAATGTTTTCATCAAGGTTTTCTAGAGAAATAGAACCAGTATATTAGAACAATGATCATCTTCTCCATCTCAATAAATATATACATAGAGAGAGGGTAAGGGAGGGAGATATTGATTGATTTACTTCTTCAAGGAATTTGTTCACAAAATTATAGGGGGCTGGCAAGTCCCAGGAGCCCTGGTGACGTAGTGGTTGAGAGCTACAACTGCTAATCAAAAGGTCAGCAGTTCGAATCTACCAGCCGCTCCTTGAAAACCCTATGGAGCAGTTCAGAATTGACTCGATGGCAACGTGTTTGTTTTGTTTGGCAAGTCCAAAATCCATAGGTTAGGCAACAGGCTGGATACTTCTGCAGGCTTTCATCCCAACTCCATAGGCCAGGCGATGGGCAGAGTGAGTTGAGAGTTCTGCCAAAATGTCTATAGTTTGGAGGCAGAACACATACTAGGGACACTCCTTTCTTGCTCCTAAGGCCTTCAATTGATTGTTTGATTACATTACATTCGATTACATTATGGAAGGTAATTATATTACATTAGATATAAGATCATTTCATCACAGAAAGTAATCTGCTTTACTTAAGGCCAATTGATTTAATTACATGTTGTAGAAACTTAAAGTTTGGCAGTTTAAATCCACTCAGAGGCACCTTGGAAGAAAGGCCTGGTGATCTACTTCTGAAAGGTCACAGCTTTTGAAAACCCTGTGGAGCACAGTTCTACTCTGATATGCCTGGGTTACCATGATTTGGAATGGACTCAATGGCAACTGGTTTTTTTGTTTTTTTAACTTTTTCCTAATAGCACATGTAACTACTCCATAACAGCAACTAAACTAGTATTTGGCCAAACAGCTGGGAACCATAGTCTAGCCAAGTTAACATGTAAAATAATCCATCACAAGTAGATGGTGCCCAGTTACTACCACAGACTGCTCTGGCCGGAATCACAATAGAGGGTCCCAGACAGAGCGGAAGAAAAATGTGGAACAAAATTCAAATTAAAAAAAAAAAAACCAGGCTTGCTGGTCTGACAGAGACTGGAGAAACCCTGAGAGTATGACCCCTGGACACCCTTTTAACTCAGTACTAAAGTCACTCCTGAGGTTCACCCTTCAGCCAAAGATTAGACAGGTCTGTAGGGCCAGCAATAACACAGGTGAAGGATGTGCTGTATAGTTCTATCATGTATATGAGACTAATGGGCATACCAGCCCAAAAGCAAAGACAAGAAGGCAGGAAGGGACAGGCAAACTGGACGAATGGAAACAGAGAACCTGGAGTGGAGAAGGGGAAAGTGTTGACACATTGAGGGGTTGGCAACCAATGTCACAAAACAGTTTGTGTATTAACTGTTTAATGAGAAACTAATTTGTAAACTGTCACCTAAATCACAAAAAAAAAAAAAGTTAAAAAAATAGTAATAAAATTATCCATCATACCTGGGGTTACACTGCTGATATGTCCAAGCCAGTGCAGGCAGTCTAGCCCCAGAATCATGTGCTTAACCACTGTACTATTCATTACAATGAAAATTTATCCAGTTGAAATTCATGTATCTATCAACCACACCTCTTCTGAGCATTGCTAAGAAGCAAGGAGTGTCAAAAATGAGGCCTACAGAACCAAAAATCTATGTATTTTAATTATGGAAGAGTCCTTTAGACCCTCATTTAGAGTTCTGTACATAATTCAAACAAGCCTTGTTACTGTTCTTTAGACCTTTAGGATATCAGAAGTAGCAAATTAGAAGAGGGAGAAGGCTGATAATGATTGCTGGCACTGTTTACCTTCTGAAGGCAGAGGTTTAGTGACTCCCATGGAAACATTTCCATAAAAGAACAATGTTGAAATGATTCTCACTACTAATACTGCATTATCTTCATAGTGTGAACATTTTAGAATTGCATGCGTTTAATAATTGCCTGAAGCTTACCTACTCTCAGATTTGGAATATACAATTAGATTCTTTTTTTTTTTAATCTGCTTTTATTTTTTCTTTTCCCAGCTTGGCTGGTCTATTGGTCCCAGCTATTTGATAAAACATTTACAGACAGTTCAACAAAATACCATCTATACTTGTGCAACTCCATTACAGGTAGGTATTATAGTAACTTAGGGCATAAATATGGTCTTTTGGTGAAGGTGTTATTTTTATAATGCATACGTCAATTGACTTAGCTCTTCCCTTTGTGTCCTCCTTGAACAGGGCCTTCTAATATAATTTGGGAGTTTAGGAGTGGACACATATTCTCTGTTACCAAGAACAGATTTTTGTTGTTGTTGTTTGTTTTTTTAATTTAAATCCATCAAGTTTTATCTTTGAACACTCATACATTGCTGGTGAGAGAAGAAAGTGGTGCAACCCTTATGGGGGACAATGGCAGCGCCAATCAAAATCAGAGATGTGCTTATCCTATGAAACAGAAATTCATCTTCTGGGAATTTACCCTGCAGCTATATATGGCTATACATGGCAGAAGACTGGGAACAGCCCCTTACACATCTATAGACAATTGATTAAATATGCCATGGTCTATCTAAACACTTAAATACTCTATGACTGTATTGGTTTCCAGTTGATGCTGTAACAAATTACCACAAATTTGGTAGCTTAAAACAACAAAAATTTATTATCTTACAGTTCTGGAGGTCCAAAATGGGTCTTCAAGTGTAAAATGAAGGTGTTGGCAGGACTATGTTCCTTCTGAAGGCTCTAGGGGAGAGTCCATTCTTCACCTTTTTCTAGCTTCTAGAGGCTGCCTGTATTCCTTAGCCCATGGTCACATCAACTGACCTCTGCTTCCATCATTACATCTCCTTCTCTAACTGTCCTGCCTTCGTCTTTCCATTATAAGGATCCTTGTTACACTGGGTCCACCCAGATAACTCACAATAACCTACCCCATCTCAAGATCCTTAACTCAATCATATCTGCAAAGTCCCTTTTGCCATGTTAGGTAACATACTCACAGGTTCTGGGGATTAGGATGTGGACATGTTTGGGGGCCATTATTCTGTGTACCACAAGGGCTGTCAAAAAACAGAGAGAAGAGTGTAAAGAAGCTCTGTAATTACTGATATGAAAAAAATTCCTAGAACAGATCATAAAGCTTAAAAAAAAAAAGCAGGATACAAAACAGTGTATATTTATGTTACGTTTTTATATAAGGGAGAAAATCTATTTGCTTGTATTTTCTAAAAGGACCTCTAGAAGGATATGTAAGAGTTACTAGCATATATGGCCACCTATAGGGGTAGGGGGAGTAGGTGAAATTAATAGATAGAGACAGGGGTGGGTACAAGACTTTTTAATGTATATCTTGTGTATATTTCTGTTTTTAAAAAAAATATAGAAACAGGAATCTCCTTAACATCATTCTGAGAACAATCAAAACACTAAAATATATTCTTTTTCTAAAAGGCAAAAGAGTGAAATGTATTGGCTGTAGTGAATTTGTGAGTTTTTTTGTTTGTTTGCTTTTGTTTTTTGTTTTGGATTCCTGTCAAAAATAACTCCTGAATGAGAAAAAAAAGTATTTTAAATTCTTTTTTCAATGACTCCCTAAAGTAATACCATGATAAAGGCCAGCTCTGACATTTGTTTTTATTAAATATTAAACTCTCTTCATCCTCTCAAAGTAAATCTATTCATTTATTCAACAAATATTTACTGATATTGGAGATACAGCAGACAAAAATTCCTGCCTTCGTGGAGCTTACCACCTAGTAGGGGGAGATCGATAATAAGCAAGTAAATAATTTTAAACTATGTTAGATTTTGATAGATGCTATAGAGAAAAACAAAGAAGGAAAGAGGAAGGATATAAAGTGACAAAGGGGAGAAGATACAATGTTAAAGAGGATAATCCATGAAAGCCTCACTGAGAAGGTGACATTTGAGCACTGAACTAAATGAAGTGTAGGTAATGTGGTTACCTACAGAAGAACCCTTTGGACTGAGAGAACAAGTGCAAAGTCCCAGTGGTAGGCAGCCTGCCTGGCATGTTTATATCAATGAGTAGCACAGAGGCTGTAAAGGGAGAAGAGTAGTAGGAGAAAAGACCAGAGAGGTAACAGGGAGCCAGATCAAGTTGGACCGTGTATGTCACTGTAAGGCTTTTTGGTTTTTCTGAGTAGATATGAAGCCTCTGGAGAGTTTTGAACCCAGCAGTGACATGGTCTAGCTTGTGTTTTTAAAGGGACTCTGGCTGCTTTGTTGAGTTAAAAGCACTTGCTGTGATCCACGAGATAGCTAAGAGTAGATTGAACCAAATGGGAATGGCAGAAGTGGTAAAAAGTAATTGGACTGTGAATATATTTTGAAAGTAGAGCCAATGGTATTTGCCAATGGATTACATATGGGGTATGAGAAAAAGAGAGGAGTCAAGGATAATTCTATGGTTGAGATGGATGTTTATGTCTCCTTGGTGCTGAATTTTTTTAGGGCAATGTCTCCAACTATAGTGAAAGAATGAGTTCCTGAGAAAAAAGAATCAGCTATTTGGAGCATCTGGAACATCTCTTTCTAAATCATTTTATTCTCCATTAAAACCAGGTGTCCCCCTAACAGCCATGTTTGGAAACTCCCCCCTGCTTTCAGGGGAATCACAAATGTTTAGGCTGGAGCAAACCAGCTTATTTATAGTACTAGGGAATTATTAGGAGCCCTGGTGGTGCAGTGGTAAGTGCTGGGCTGCTAACTAAAAGGACAGCAGTTTGAACCTACCAGCTGTGGGAGAAAGATGTGGCAGTCAGCTTCTGTAAAGATTATAGCCTTGGAAACCCTGTGAGGCAGTTCTACTCTGTCACATGGGGTTGCTGTGAGTCGGAATCAACTTGAGAGCAATGAGTTTTTTGGTTTGTTTTTTGTTTTTTTTGTGGGGGGGCGGTGGGTGGTTGATCAGTTATTATTCTGTTTTACTGCTAAATTCTTGTGGCATGCAGATTTCTCTATGATCTTGTCCCTCTCTGTCTCTCTGGTCTCATCTCTTGCCATGCTCTCTCTCACTTGCCAGCTTTCAGCCACGCTGGACTTCGTCCAACAGAACAAATTATTTCCTACTTTAGGACTTTAGCAGACACTATTCTCTCCAATGGGAAACCTCCTCACCTCTACCCAAGCCTCTTACTTGACTGGTAGAGCAGATAATATATTTAATTTCCACAGTTTTTATACTTTGATATCTTTTTCTTTCATTTGTCTTCTGGCACAGCTCCCCTTCCCCCTCTAGTTAGAAGTTCCATGAAGATAAGTACCAAGTCTATCTTGTTTATTGTTATATCCCCAGTACTTATCTCAATGCCAGGCTGAACATAGGTACTCAGTGTGTATTTACTGTGTGAACTAATTTATCCCTTAGTTCTTGATATCTCTGACTCTGATTAATTTTCTTAGAATTTGACCACTTTGCTCCACTGTTCTGTTAGTCATTTCAAGTGGATCTCCTGGTTTACTCTGAGTCCCAATACTTCTAAGTTATCCCAGTTCATAATTGCCTACCATGCTTCTGCCCTCCTATCTGTACAGATCTTTGTTCTTTATGTATGCCCTGATTCTGACTTGTTTACCTCTGCCTTCTCAGACACTTGCCTAATCCTTATCAAAATTGGCTTTTACCCTTGGCCCAATGTCTCTTCTGGCTCTTCTGACTTAACCTAAAGAGTGCTAGAGGAATTGCTCCACTTGCCCCGGTAATGTTTCTAATGCTTGTTGCACTTGGAGCAGTTTCTTGGGATGTGAAGGATTAGAGCACACCCACGGGGAATGAGGGAGGGTACATTTTCTCCTCTACACAGTGGGTCAGCTTTCATTTCCACTACTGTCCTCCAAGATAATGGGTAAAGGCTGGCTAGTTCATCATTTCTGTTTTCCAGATTTAAATTTAGCAAGTCATTCTACAGCTCACCTTGATAGAAAATAACTTACATTTTTAAAAAATTTCCAATTAAGCCATCTTTGTAGAATATCTCCTTTTCAATTTGTATTTTCAGGGCTCATTCTCAGTTTTTCATGTTAGACTTAACCATTTATGTGATACCTGATTCCTTCGTTAATCTATGGATTAATTAACATAGGTTCACAGGAATCCAACTCTCATTTCTGGAGTGACCTTTTTGCCAAGTATCTTAGTCAGATCATCTTTATTTATTATACCAATAAGCTAAGCAATAAATAACATATTACCGTATTTCCTTTCCACATTTTTTCAATTTTAACATCCAGGAAGCCTTGGCTCAAGCTTTTTGGATTGACATCAAGCGCATGGATGACCCAGAGTGTTACTTTAATTCTTTGCCAAAAGAGTTAGAAGTAAAAAGAGATCGGATGGTCCGTTTACTTGAAAGTGTTGGGCTAAGACCCATTGTTCCCGACGGGGGATACTTCATCATTGCTGATGTGTCATTGCTAGGTTTGTAAAGCTTTTTATTATTTCTAATACACTGAAACTTATATATGTGAAATTATAACAGAATTATAGGGAAAAGATTGGTATCAAAGCATATCAGCATTTTAGTTATGGAAAAGATTGATTTTAACAATGGCAATGTTTCTCTACAGTTATCTTTACTTCTAAGTTCTTTACCTTAAATGGGACTGTTATATGATTATAGAGTCAGTGTTATTCTAATTATTCTATTAAACATTGGATTTGCTGTCATATTGTTCTTGTATGTAATTTAAAACACATGTACATAAAGTATTTATGTGTGGTATGTTCATCTGAGTAAAATTTTATTTTCCTTTTCACTTATGAAAAAGGCATACTATTTTTTTAGAAAAATAAGATCTCTGGAAATTTTTGAAGCCATAGGGTAATGTTTGCCATTTTGATTGTATGGAAGTGAAGTAAAGAAGGCAAATCTACTGACTGAGGGTCTACTATGTGTCAAACACTCTTAATACCCTTTTAAGAACGTTGTTAGCTCAGTTTTACAGATGAGAAGACTTAGAAAGTTTTAAATAACCCACCTAAAGTCCACTTTCTGCAAGCCATGTTGTGTCATCTGCATATTGCAGGTTGTTAATGAATCTTCCTCCAATCCAGATGCCACGTTCTTCTTCATATAGTCCAGTGACTTGGATTATTTGCTCAGCATACAGATTGAATAAGTATAGTGAAAGGACACAACCCTGACACACACCTTTCCTGATTTTAAACCACGCAGTATCCCCTTGGCAATTCAAACAACTGTCTCTTGGTCTCTGTACAGGTTCCTTGTGAGTATAATTAAATTCTGGAATTCCCATTCTTCACAATGTTATATGTAAATTGTTATGATCCACACAGTTGAATGCCTCTGCATACTCAAAACATGAGTGAACATCTTTCTGGTATTCTCTGCTTACAGCCAAGATCCATCTGACATTAGCAATGATATCGCTCATTCCACGTCCTCTTCTAAATCCAGCTTGAATTTCCAGCAGTTCCCTGTCGATGTACTGCTGCAACCGTTTTTGAATGATCTTCAGCAAAACTTTACTTTTGTGTGATATTAATGATATTTTTTGATAATTCTGCATTCTGTTGGATCACCTCACTTTGGAATGGGCACAAATTTGGATCTCTTCCAATCAGTTGGCCAGGTATCTGTCTTCCAAATTTCTTGGCGTAGATGAGTGCTCGCTTCTAGCATTGCATCATTTGTTGAAACATCTCAATTGGTATTCTGTCAAGTTTGGAGCCTTGTTTTTCACCAGTGCCTTCAGTGCAGCCTGGATTTCTTCCTTCAATACCATCAGTTCTTGATCGTATGCTACCTCTAGAAATGGTTGAATGTGACTGTATATTCCTTCCATCTTCTTTTGATGCTTCCTGCATCATTCAATATTTTGCCCATAGAATTCTTAATATTGCAAGTTGAGTCCTGAATTTTTTCTTCAGTTCTTTAAGCTTGAGAAATGCAGAGCATGTTCTTCCTTTTTGATTTTCTAATTCAGATCTTTGCACATTTCGTTATAATACTTTGTCTTCTGGAGCTGCCCTCTGAAATCTTCTGTTCACCTTTCTTACTTCATCATTTCTTCTATTCGCTTTAGCAATTCTGCATTCAAGAGAAAGTTTCAGCGTCTCTTCTGACATCCATTTTGGTCTTTTCTGTCTTTCCTGTCTTTTTAATGACCTTTTGCTTTATTTATGTATGAGATCCTTGATGTCATCCCACAACTCATCTGGTTTCAGTCATTAGTATTCAATGAGTCAAATCTGTTCTCGAGATGGTCTCTAAATTTAGTTGGGATATGCTCAAGGTCATACTTTGGCTCTTGTGGACTTGTTCTAATTTTCATCAGCTTCAACTAGAACTTGCCTATGAGCAATTGATGGTCTGTTCTGCAGTGAGCCCTGGTGTTGTTCTGACTGATGATGTCGAGCTGCTCCATCATCTTTTTCCACAGATGTAGTCAGTTTGATTCCTGTGTATTCCATCTGGTGAAGTCCATGTGTATAGTTGCCATATTTCCAATAAGTAGGTTGTTGGACTTGCAAAATTCCATCATGTGATCTCTGGTGTCATTTCTATGACCAAGGCCATATTATCTAAACAGAGACCTTCTCTGTTTCCAACTTTCATCTTCCAATTACCAGTAATTATCAATTTATTACATTGTAACATTAAACATCAAAAAGACAGTATTGCAACTTTTGCTTGGTTTATTACATTAAACTCTTAATTAAGTGGTTTCCCATTCTATCCTCAGTCAATCCATCAGCATGCATTACTAGTTTACTATTTTCCTACCCCAGCTTAGATTTTGAACTAGTGTGGTTGTAATAGCACTAGAAAGGATTTTGGTTAGAGAACCCTTTCTGATGATGGGGAAAAAAAACAAACACAATGTCCCTTCTTCTTTATGGCCCTCCTTTCTCAATTACATTCATTGGGGGAGGGGGATATTAAATGTTTATAGGACCCTCCTATATATGAAGACAAATTTGTTTCATTTTACTTTTTTATCTGCTCAAAATACTTTGCAGTATAAAGATTCTTCTGTATGCTAGAGGTTGGCTTCACCATCTTGCTCAAGACAAAAACAAAAACCAAGTACTTTCATTTTATTGTTAGGTGCCATGGAGTTGGTTCCAACTCATGGCGACCCTATGTAGAACATAACGAAACACTGCCCAGTCCTGCGCCATCCTCATAATCGTTGTTTTTCTTGAGCCCATTGTTGCAGCCACTGCATCAAACCATCTCTTTAAGGGTCTTCCTCTTTTTCCATGACCCTCTACCAAGCATGATGTCCTTCTACAGGGACTGGTCCCTCCTGATAACATGTCCAAAGTATGTGAGACGAGGTCTTGCCATCCTTGCTTCTAAGGAACATTCTGGCTGTATTTCTTCCAAGACAGATTTTTTATGGTAGATTGAGAATAAAACTAAATCATAATATTCATGGGCATAGTAATTACTTTCTTTACAATTAATAACAATGGCAAACAGGTTTATATTTATTGAACATTTATGATATACCGTATTTTCACACAAATAACGTGTGTGTTATACATTTTTTTGCCAACAGCTATGCCAGAACTGTTTTACTTAATGTCATCATTTCCACACGTGATATATGTAGGCACATTATCTGTGAAAAATACAGTAGTAGATATTGTGCTAAGAGCATTACAATGGTCACATTCTCACAAAAGTCCTATGAGGTCAGTGCTATTATATCCCCATTAATAGATGAGAGAGATGTGATAGAGAGACAGTCGAGTAATTTAACAATGTTGTTGTTGTTGTTAGGCGCCATCGAGTCAGTTTCAACTCATAGTGACCCTATGTACAACAGAACGAAACACTGCCCAGTCCTACGCCGTCCTCACAATCATTGTTATGCTTGAGACCATTGTTGCAGCCACAGTGTCAATCCATCTCGTTGAGGGTCTTCCTCTTTTTCACTGACCCTCTACTTCACCAAGCATGATGTCCCTCTCCAGAGACTGATCTCTCCTGGTAACATGTCCAAAGTATGTGAGATGTAGTCTCACCATCCTTGCTTCTGAGGAGCGTTCTGGCTGTACTTCTTCCAAGACAGATTTGTTTGTTCTTTTCGCGGTCTATGCTATATTCAATATTCTTCACCAGCACCACAATTCAAAGGCATCAATTCTTCTTTGGTCTTCCTTATTCATCCTCCAGCTTTCGAATGCATATGAGGCAATTGAAAACACCATGGCTTGGGTCAGGTGCACCTTAGTCTTCAAGTTAGCATCTTTGCTTTTTAACACTTTAAAGAGGCCTTTTGCAGCAGATTTGCCCAATGCTATGAGTCGTTTGACTTCTTGACAGCTGCTTCCATGGGTGTTGATTGTGAATCCAATTAAAATGAAATCCTTGACAACTTCA